ACACACACACACACACACACACACACACACACACACACACACACACATGCTTCTCTAATTCTATGTTACTCTGCTATTGAGATCAGTCTTCATCATCATGGCAGGGAGAGGAGAGTCCTAACACTGGGGGAGGCAGAATCATGGACTTGTCTACCATGAATAATGACTTCCTGGACCCAGGGAGATGGAATTAAGGAAGTATTCAGTATGCCCCAAATGCAAGGGGTATCACCCACTTTCTCCTCTGTCTTACAGGCTGTTCTGACTCATAGAATCTCTGGGGCACCCAATCTAAGTACCCCTATTTGGACAAGTGCCATGCCCCAGTGGTGACATAAGGGGAGAAGGTAGAGCACCAAGATATGACTAACTGCTGGAGCCCCAGAGGAGTTCATAGGCAGGTTTCCCCCCTTTAAACCCCTCTCTGTATCTTGGCCTTACACCTTGGTCTCAGAATTTCCCTGAGAGGTGGGCTTGAGTTACCATGGCTTGCTGCAGTGCTGGAGGAAGTGGTGAGAGGGGCCAATTGACAAGGTGTCACCTACACACCAGTTCAGGTCCTGGGATAATGTGCTCTATGCTTAAGTACAGGTTTGGTTGAAGGCATCCAGGAGAGGGAAGGGAGGGGAGTAGAAAATGTGGGGTTCCTGATAGACAGAACCTTGTGCCAAGAGTCAATTCAGACACTGATGAATTTGTAACCCTGGGTGAGTCACTTTGCATTTGGGACCTCAATTTCCCCATCTGAAAAATGAGGATTTGGACTACATGACCCCTAATGTCCATTCCAGTTCCAAAATCCTATGTTCTAAGGGCCCTTCTCAGCTATGACATTCTCTGTTCTAAGGGCCCTTCCAGTTCTAACATTCTATGTTCTAGGTCCCTCCCCAATCGACATTCTACATTATGTGATTCTAGGAAAGGAGGCAGCAAATTAATGGAGAGCTGTGTGTGTGTTTCAAGTGAGGCTGAGTTGAAGGCAAGGAGAGAATGATGCTCTCTAGTTGCTGGCCAAAGAGGGGATCAATGGACATTTGATTGGGACAATCAGAAGAAGACTACTTTGCAAGCCCTGTATCTTATTTGGGTCTCAGAATCACCCTGTGAGGCCAGTAAGAGCAGGGATTATTTCCGTCATTTTGTAGCAGGGGAAACTGAGTCCTATGGAGGAAAAGGGTCTTGATGGAGGTCACTCAGTGACTCAGTGGCACAGGTGGACCTGGAACTCAGTACTTCCCACCCCTGACTTTTTGTCACACCTGCAGCTGTTTAGGTTTGGGTGGAAATGTCTGGACAGGGCTAGGTGCTGAAAGCTGGGGAGATTAGGGTGTGTATGTGTATGTGGTTGGAGGGTGGGACCAGACCTCTCCAGAGCCCCCTAGGAGAGGGTGAGGGAATAAGTATCATTCCCACGAAAACTGGTGTTGTTGATGGATACGATCGCTCCCTGAGTTGAGCACTCGGAATAAAACTGCTCTGTGTGTGTGTGTGTGTGTGTGTGTGTGTGTGTGTATACCGCCACTCTCAGAACAAACCTGTTACCATCTGACAATGCTGGGCCTCTAAAATAGATCGGTGTGGCATGGTGGGGGCTGGGAACCAGAAGGGCATGGGAGGGGGAGGGGAACCCATGAATAAAACACTCATTTCATTACAAACATTCCGTTAAATATAGTCTGCATTTGTAGGTTGAGGTCAAGCTCCAGACAGAGACAGAAACCTGTCACTAGCCTGTATGGAGATGAGAAGGCCAGTGTTGGCATTACCTGGGTGAGCTCCTTGTAACAAAACTCATTTGGAAACACAGGATATTATAGCAAAAAAAAAATATCGTCTCCCCTAACCTCTGCTCTGAGTTGTTTTTTGGTTTTTGTTTTTCTTTTTTTTGGTGTGTGTGTGTGTATGTATGTGTGTGTGTGTGTGTGTGTGTGTGTGTGTGTGTGTGCATGCTCTGTGTATAGATACGTATTTGTGGAGAGAGACAGAGACAGAGAGACAGAAAGAGACAGAAAGAGACAAAGAGAGACAGAGAAAGAGAGGCAGGGAGACAGAGAGGAGGCATGTGGGGCGGCTGTTTTTGGTTATCAATTTTCTTTCCAGGGAAGGATGCTTATGAGTGCAAGTATAGAATTTGGGGAGGGGGAGATTTCACTCCCTGCCTCCCCCATCCCATTTATTTTCCAGTCATTCCTATGATTCTTCTGCCCCTCTGGCCCCTAGCCACCCAGTGATGTTTGGGAAATTTTCTTTCCCCTCCCCCATCCTGCTTCCCAGGACCCAGCACCCTATTCTTATCTCCCTCTTGGGTCCAGGGCCTGGCAAATTTGGCGCATCTGGTGGGCGTCGTTAATTTTCCTATGAATGTTAATGCTTTAATGTCAATATTATTATGAAGTGGTTTATATATTCATATTAGCAGATGAATATTAATGCTCCAACACCCTCTGTAGTGGCTCGTGTTACTCCAGTTCCCCTGATATTATTCACAATGCCGTTTTTTTCTATTTATGTTAATCGTATATACATTTGCATATTAATGGTAATATTTGTCTTAAAAGGGCTATTT